TCCTAGAAGTAGTAAGTAATTATAGCAAAGTTACACTTGGAATAAATGATAAAGTAAAGCAAGTTTACAAGACATAAGTTTGATACAGAAGTCATTTTCCTATATGCCAGCAATAAAGAAGAAAATTTGAAATTTAAAATGCAATACTGCCGGGCATCATGATTCACGCCTGTAATCCCAGCACTTTGGGAGGCCAAGGTGGGTGGATCACGAGGTCAGGAGTTCGAGATCAGCCTGGCCAACTTGATGAAACCTCATCTTTACTAAACATACAAAAATTAATTGGTTGTGGTGGCAGGCGCCAGTAGTCCCAGCTACTCGGGAGGCTGAGGCAGGAGAATTACTTGAACCCAGGAGGTGGAGGTTGCAGTGAACGAGATTGCAGCACTGCATTCCAGCCTGGGCAACAGAGCGAGGCTCTGTCTCAAAAAAAAAAAAAAAAAAAAAAAAAAAAAACATTTACATTATCATCCCCCCCAATAAAATACTTAGATATAAATCTAGCAAAATATGTACAAGTTCAACATGAGAAAGACTGTAACATTCTGATGAGAAACATCGAAAACTGAAATAATGAAGAGATATTTTATGTTCATCCATAGAAAGATTCAACATTGTCAAGATGTTAGTTATTCCAAACTAGATCTATAGATTAAATACAATCTCAGTAAAAATCCCAGCAAATTATTTTGTGGATATTAACTAATTCTCTAATCTATATGGAGATGCAAAAGCCACAGAATAGCCAACACCATTTTGAAGGAGAAAAACAAGTTTAAAGGACTGGCACTACCTGATGTCAAGACTTACTACTAAGCAACAGTGATCAAGGCAGTGTGGTATTGGTGAAAGAATAAACAAAGAGATTAATGCAACAGAATGGAGAGCCCAGGAGTAGTCTCATGCTAATATGGTTAACTGGTTTATGACAAAGGAAAAGGAAATACAATAGAAGTAAAGATACTCTTTTGAACAGACGATGCTAGAACAAGTGGATGCCCATATGCAAAGAAATGAATCCAGGCACATAGTTTATGCCCTTAATAAAAATTAACTCAAAATGAATCACAGTCCTAAATGTAAAATGCAGAATTCTTAGACAATAACATAGGAGAAAACCTAGATAACCTTGGATTTAGTGGTGACTTTTAGATTCAACACCAAAGGCACAATCCATGAAAGAAAGAATTGATAACCTAGACTTCATTAAAACTAAAAACTTCTCTGCTAATGATACTCTCAAAAGCATGAGAAGACAAGCCACAGAATGGGAGAAAATATTTGCAAGAGGCAAATCTGATAAAGACTGTTACCCAAAATATGCAAAGAATTATTGAAACATAACAAGAAAAACAAGAACCCAATTAAAAAAAAATAAGCAAAAGGAACCTAAAGTATAATTTAAAAAAAAAAAGTTTAAGATATTGGAAAAATAAAGAGGTGCAGAAAATGCTAAATTCACCAAAAAAAAAAAAAAAAAAGAAAAAAAAAGAAAAAAAAAGAGCAAAAGACTTGAACACCAAAGATGTACTGATAGCAAACAAGCATATGAAAAGCACATCCTGAATACATGCCATCAGGGCATTGCAAATTAAAACAATGATACCATAAGTGTCTCCTTATAAAATGTCCCAAATCCAAAATATTGACAAAGTCAAATAGCAGTGAGGATGTGGAACAAAATAAACTCTCATTTATTTTTTGGGGGAATGCAAAATAGTACAGCTACTTTGGAATATAGTTTGGCAGTTTCTTTAAACTAAACATACTCTTACTATACAGTCCAGCAATCACACTCCTTGGTATTTACCCAAAGGAGTTCAAAACATAACCTACCTTAAATGTGCTCAGAACACTTACATTAGCCTGCAGTTAGTAAAAGCAAAATTCAAAATTTGATGTATGCTTTCTATGGAATGCATATTGCTTTTGCATCATTGTAAACTTGAAAAAATATAATCATGTCATCATAAGTCGGGGACTGTCTGTAGTTTGAAAGTAAAAGAATGAAAGATGAGAGATCTTGCAAATATTAACTGAAAGAAAACTGGAATGACTATATTAATACCAGATAAAATAGACTTTAAAACAAAAATTGCTACTAGAGCCAAAAGATATTATATAATGGTAAAAGGATCACTCTATCAAGAAGAGATAAGAATTACAAATACATATACCCCTATCATCAGAGCCCCCAAATACATGAAGCAAAAGCTGACAGAATTGAAGGGAAAATAAACAATTCAACAATAGTAGATGGAAACATCAACACTTCACTTTCAATAACGACTAAAACTAGATAGAAGATACACAAACAAATAGAAGACTTGAACAACACACATAAACCAACAGACATCTGTAGAACACTTACCCAACAAAAATAGAATATACTTTCTTCTCAAGTGAATACAGAACATTCTCTAGATCATATATTAGTCTAAAAAAAAAGTCTCACTAAATTTAAAAGGACTGAGTCATACAAAATATGTCATCTGACCATAATACAATAAAATTAGAAATCAATATCAAAAGGAAATTTGGGAAATTCACAAATAAGGAAGAATGTTTTAAAATACTATTTGACTTTTTAAGTTGAAAATCTAATTGGAAACTTAAATAGTTTTAAATATAGCATAAATAAAGAGATGCGGCTATTAAAATTTTTGAATAATATTAGTGTCCTTGATTTCTATCTTTCTCACTAGTGCCCATGTAGAAGAATTATCCCTGTATCTGGGATCCCTTTCGTCATTATCTAGGAGTTCTCTTTGAAAAAAGAAACTATACCCTAACCAGTGCCAATCATTTTACCCTTCCATTTTCACCCTATTCTTTTCAATAAAATTGTTTTATAAACATCATTTTCAAATTGTTACTTAATAGATGCAAGATTATCATGCCAATTGGAAGTTCAAAAGAATATTCTAAATGGCAACTCCCCAAGTTAAACTGTTAGCCAAAAACTAAGTGTTTGCACCATTCTAATAAGAAAAACTCTTTCTACCAAAAGATTCTAGTCATTTTAACTTACTATTTATTATGTTCATCTTTTTCTAAATACCTTGGGGATTATTGCAATAAATAAGATTCAGATTCTGCCCTCAGCAACCCTGTGATCTATTAGACAAATGGTGGTAGTCAGACAAATACACAAATAACCTCAATTACATGCAAAATGTGACAAATGCAATGATTAAGGCACGAAAGACTATAGTGACTTAAAAAGGGAATTGTTACATCTAATTAGAGTACTTAAGAGAGGCATCTTATAAAGTAATGGTTCTCAACACTGGCTGCTCATTAGTATCACACTGGGAGCTTTCAGAAACCTTGATGACCAGACTTTGCCACAGAGCAAACAAATCAGAATATCTCATGTAAGTGGCCTGAACATCAGAATTTTTTAAAGCTTCCTGGGTGATTCTAATGTGCAGCCAAATTTGAGAATCATTGTTATAAAAGACAAGTAAGAAAGACATAGAATTGAACAACGTGTAAAGTTTCACTTGAAAGGGAACTGGATACTAGAGCACTTGAAAAAATCCTCACTTCAATATAACTAATATATTTTCATTCTTCCAACTTCAGCTCAATTAAAACATCCCTAAAAAGCTTTTCCTGACTCCTCCAATGATAGTCATAATATCTTAAAAATGGTAGTAAAAGCTGACACTTTTTAATGCACCTTGCAGTATGTCATGTACCATTCTAAGCACTAAATATATGTCAATACGTAGCCCTCCCAATAATGCTAGGAGATAGATAGTATTATTATTCCCATTTTACATGAAAGGAAGGTAAATAACTTGTCAAAGTTATCCAGCTAAGAAGTAGCAGAGCTGGGATTCAAGTACAATGGCTCCAGAATCCCTGTTCTGAAACACAACCAACTATAGTCTGATATTCCTTTTCAAGCCCCACAAAGGACAGAGTATACTTCCATCGCACCATGAAACATATTATATTGTAAAGGTTTGTGAGATTTTTCTCTTCTACTAGTCATTCATTCATTCCTCCAGTTAACAATTACTGAGCACACACTCAATTTTGCCAAAAATTATGCTTGGTTTTTGAATCAGAAATACAAAATCACATGTTCATATTTCATGTCAAGGAGTTTTAGTCTAGAGCAGAGTTCAGCAAACTACAGTTGATGAGTCAAATCCTGCTTGCCACTTGTTTTTGTAAATAAAGATTTATGGAGCCATAGCTGTGCTCATTGGTTTATGTATTATCCAGAGCTGCTTTCGTGCTACAACACAAATAGCATAGTGAAATAGGTGTGACAGAGACCCTCTGGCCACAAAGTCTAAAAGATTTACTATCTGGCTCTTTATAAAAAAATGTTTGCCAACTCCTAGTGTAAAAAATATGACAAATGAGGAAGTCATCAATGACTATCCAATGAGGTGTATGCTATGAGGCCCAAGATACTGTGGGAACATAAAAGAGAAATCTAGATTAGGTTAGAGGGTCAGCAAAAGTCTTCTAGATGGCATGATACTTGAGTTAGTTTTGGAAGGCTGAGTAGAGTCAATTAGATAAAAAAAGACCAGGGAGACTTTTCAGTAATATTACACAGGCAAGGTCAACAGTGATCCAAGGAGCCAGAGTAATGACAGTAAGAATAGCAAACAGGGTGGATATGCTTAAATGATATTACTTAGTTCTACAGAATTTATGAAAATATATCTTTGATTTCTTGGTTCTCATTATTTAGCACAACTAGCGGTGTGTATAGATTTGGAACTCACTAAATGTTTGTTAACCAAAAAGATTACTTCTTAAGTACAAGATAAACATCTTTCACTTTAAAAAAGGAAAAAATAGTTGCCTTCCATTTGTTCTTAAAATGATCAAACTATAACAATTCTGGATTTTTTTCACCCATTGTCCTAGAGTGAAAAAAAGACCATTTTTTTCTTGTTTTCAGTTGTGTATATATGCATCATATTAACAATAGAGTTGTACAAATGATAAGTGGTTGCAATATGCTGTACCTGGAAAATTCATAGGCAGTTCAAATGGCTGTAAAGACTCACAACCTTCCATCTGCTCACAAATTTCAGCTATGATCTTCTTAATTTTGAGACCAGTAATTTTAATCACTTCTCCTGTTGAAAAACAGCATTCATTTCCAAACATTTCATAAATAGAGCCTAAAAGGAAAGAAAAGTTAAAACAGCTTTTTAAAAAGAAAACAGTGAAAAACAAAGTAGACTCAAAAGCTTAATATAAAGTGTTTTAATTCAGTTCCTGTCTTAGCTACCTACTAAACAGGAATCTAATCAAGCTTGGCAAAATGGACAGCATAGACCAGAAAAATATTAGATTTTCACTTTTTCCACTGGGCCAAGTATAAATAATCTTATTTTCTTTATTTTTGTAAATTGAATTTATGGTTTCCTCAGCACCCTTAGCTCATCTTACCATGGTCAAACTACAAACATATCTCCCACTACTGAGATTATTGATCTGTTTTTACTGGGTCACAAAATTAAGCTTATATGACTCAACAATGATCTAAGTAACAACTGCAAACAAGGTTGTCATACAATCGGATATGAAAAGACAGAGGGTTGCACACTAGGGCTTCATATTAACAGGATCATATTTATTTATTAGATCTGGTTCTCTTCATTAGCATGAAAGTAAAACTTTTTGCCCATATTTATCTGTTGGTTTTTGACAAGCTAGAAACCATTCTGAATATCTTTATGGCGATAGGGGGCAGACCAACCCAGAGAAACTGAAAAGCTTCATTTTAGGATTTCAGTCTCCTTCTTGACAAAATTTTTATCATAGGTGCTACAGCTAAGTTTTCATTCACTTATTTTCCTTTAATATTCCCTGACGGAAGGACAGTGAGTAGTAAAATAACCAGCAGATGAGCAACAGGCAAGAGCAGAGGCAAAAATTCTGGATAATCTACCCCCAGTGAAAAGGAAACAACCTAAAAACGACATCTCTGGCATATTATTGCTTTACAATTCAACACTAAACTTAAGGCTGGTATATAGAGCTGTGAGCTTTTATATATATCAATTGTTCCTGACCTCCAAAATGGTTTGCGTTGCCTTTGCCATACTAAATGTAAAGTATATGAGCACAGCATTTTAGGTTTGCTAATTTGTTTTCTGAATTTTTCTGTATTGAACCACCTCCTCATAGAATTGTTCCTGATATACAGCATGCACCTAAAACGTTTTTATGGCATTAATGGTTGTCAGAAAAGTCATTAAGCCTGACATCCAATGTAGATCTAACATCAACTCTGAGGTCATACCAGAGTCCCAGTAGGTGACAGGGCACACTCAAATTAGAATAATTTCAGGAGGCTTATCATAGGGGCCATCTTTAAAAAGTGGCACAGACAGTTCTAAGCAACCAAAGGAAACAAATGTCCTGACCTCACTCTTCTCCAAAGGCATCCCATTAACCAAATTCTGCCAGAAGCCAGAGGACAAGCGAGCTGCTAATGTCCCCACAGAAGTCAGTCTCCCAGGCAGAGTGGGTATGAAAATCCAGCACACCCACATTACTGTCCATATCTTAGCAAGAAGCACTTTTGCAGACAAGAAGAATACATCTAAAGAATACATCTTAAAGATAATCTATCCATTCCTCAAGCTTTGAGTACATATTTCCATAACCCTCTCCTTGTCTCATACTATTCCCTTAACTACACATGTGCTCGTATTTTCATTAACTTTAATACATAGTGTTATCAGCAGGCTCAAGTCCTTTGTGGAACAAATTGAGATATTAAAAATACTAATAAATCCACAGTAACATTTTCCTCCAATTGACTCTGAATGGTTATTTGCTATGATCCTCATTTGGCAATTAATCACATACTAACATTTTATATCTTTAGTATTATCTCAGCCTGTACTTAACTTTTTATGTTTGTTTTTATGACTCCCAATTCAATTTTAAACTTCATGAGATGAAATATCGCATTACATTCTTGTATGACTACAACACATCAACTTCCCCTCTTCATTCATTCAACACACTTTGATTAAAAAAAAAAAAAAAACCTACTATGTTGTTTATTGGCAAAAGGAATCAGAGATAAAAATTGCTTCCCCCCAGAAGCATTGTCTTGAAGGGAAAGAACAATTAAGGAGACAATTGCGACAGATTATGAGAAAAGTGTAATAAAGGAAATACAGGGCATTGTGGGAGTATACTGAAGGCATTTAATCATGCAATTACATGAAAAAGAGACTACAGAAGGATTTATGGAGGAGATGGCGGCAGATTTGAGTTTTAAAGGAAGAGTCAGAGGACACCAGGACAGGCAGAGGAAATAGTATTTGAAAAGGTACTGACGTGTGAAAGAGCCTGATACATTCTGGAAACTTCAAATTCTTTGTTATGTCTAAAATGTAAAGTAAGAAAGAGGAAGTGGTAAAAACAGAGACTAGAGAAGTAGAGGGAGTCCAGATGGTTCAGAGCATTCATTATTTATTCATTATCAATAAATAAAAAAGCAATTCAAAGTCTGAAGCAACCTCAAAGTCAGATAATCTACAATTCCAGTTATCATGGTCCAAGAACACATTTAAAGACAGGTCATTTGTACTCTAAGTGTTTGCTATACAAACCTTGGTCCACTGCATCACCTGAGAGCTTGTTAGAATCTTAGACCCCAGACCTGCTGAATCAGAACCTGTGTTTTTAACAAGATCCCTAGATGATTTATAAGTACATTAAGGTTTGCAAACGTTGGCCTAGGCAACAAATGGATAACAAAATAGTCTCTGTTTTGAAATTGTTGCAAAACTAACAGAGAGGGGAGAATGTGTTAAGCAGAGAAAACACTGGGCGTCATTGAGTTAGAGGATGTTATAAGTGGAGAGAGGGAAAGGGAAGGATTTTAAGTAAAGGAGCAAGAGGTAAAATTTTTCTTTGTCACATTAAATGGAACATAATTTAACCTAGCCTATCTCAGCTGAAGTCTGTCGGGCTTAATTTCAGTGCAATGGTTATCTAATTGTAAATGTAATGTATATCAAATTGGCTGAGTTGGAATGTCATCTTTCTTTTAAAGGTTCAATTGTAATTCAAAATAAAAAGATAAATTTGTGTGAGATTTCATACCAATTCACATGGAACAGAAGCCAGAGAATTCTATAAAAACAAATTTCATGAGTCTTGGTCACCACAAGAAAAGCTTTTGACTCTGCAGGTCTTTTTCCAAGCAAGTCTTTCCTTTTGGAAGAAAAAAGGTCACTCATTTCAGTCACATAAGGAAAAGAACATCTTGTAAATGCTAATCTTTTATAATTTCTCTTTAATATTTTGTGACTTCCAATTTTCTTCAACCAAGAAAGCTGTTAACTCATTTTTAATAAAGAAAGTGTTCAGAGACATCCAGCACTAGAAAGTTATGTCTATGATAGGTGACAGGGACATATAGCAAAGCTCAAGTCCCTAAAACTGGAAATCTTGTACTTTGTTAACACTAATATAATGTGTCTTAAAATATATTTTTTCCTTCATGATAAATTAAAATGGTGAGTTTAAAAATAGCTAACTTTCATTATCTCAAAGCAAACACATAATATGTGTAATTGCTTTTAAAAAATTGCTGAGATGTGTTTCTGAAATATATCTGTGTATATATAGACATACATATTAAAATGGCTTTCATTTCATTTTAACCATAAAACATGTATTTTGAATATGCAAATCTCAAATCTATTAAATCTTTACAGACTGATTCTTTCCAAGTCAGAGCATATGTATTCAGGATAATGCCAAACATCAGAGAAAGCTGGAACAAAGCAGCCTGTTTTCAGTGATCAAACATTGCCCCTGAAGGCTGTAATGAAAGAGCCATGTGCCTTTGAAATCACCTTTTCTGTAATGCTACTTTGCTCAATAAAAATGACACATTAATATCCTTTTATGAGCTCATCCCTTGTTTGACAATCCATATAAGCAATGTTGTGATCACATCAGAGCAGCCAAAACAATTGGTTCAATAGATTTTCTTCCACCTTCCCTCCAAAGTTAAAAATGTATGACAGTCAGCAAAGAGGAAACTACACTGGATGTTTCTCCCCTTTACTCAAATGCATTCTCCCTCCACTACTGCCTGCCCTCCCACCCCCTGCCACTATACCAGGCCACCCATCCCTTTACATCCTCATCAACTTTTCAAAGTCCAACCAATTCCAAAGTTTCAGCCCATATTCATCATTTTCTTCAAAGCCTTCCATGATTCCTACACGTAAGTAAGAATTAATTCTGTCCTCTGTGCTCTGATAGCACTTCATGCGTATCTCCATTATAGCCCTTATGTGATTATTATCACTGCTTCAATTGGAGTGTTATGTATATTTTGGAATTATTATGATTTCCTAGAGAAGAGATATTATCTTAACTATATGTATACCTTCCCCACAGCTAGTAAAACAGTTTTTATCACTTATTAGATCATTAGTGAATGTTGTTATAATTTTGTTTCACTGTAAAATGACAATTTTTGTGAATATAATAGTGGTCCTTCTACATAAGCAGTTTAAAGGCATGGTCAAGTCAAAGGTTTTTGAATGGATTATATCTTTATTTGGTATGTTTGATATCTAATATACAAGCAAAGTATATACAAGCTGGCCACATTGTGAATTCCCTAGACAAGGAGTAATGAGGGTAGTGGTTCTATAATATGAATCTCTACTTGTTAAGTTTGCATAAAGAGGGAGCTCATGTGATCTTCTGAGATATGTTTTTATAAGTTAGGAAATTATAACTGCAAAGTATGGCTGATAGTGTCTGACAGAACCATATCCAGTGGGGTTGCCAGTGGAGATGCATCGTTGCTCATTATAAATAGATGTGATTATTTTTTGCTTCAGGATAGCACAAATTATCAAGAAGGAGCATCCCTCTAAAGGAAATGTTTAAGTGTAAAACTATTTTATTGGCAATTGTGTACCTAGACATGGAAGTTGATATGACATTGCGACCATTATAGTGATAAATTCAGTTTTCCAAATGAACCTCTAGATAAGCAGCCACAGGAATGAAGTTCAAAAGAGGCCAAGGTTGCAATAGACATTTATGTGGCCAGTCTTCCATAAAGAGATGGTCTGCATTTTCTGTAAGGCAGAGACAATGTCATTCCCACTCTATGAAGAATGTG